GGGCTGGTTTTTTTGGCAGCTTCTGCCCTCGGCTGGATCCCATTTGAATGGCTCTGCACTAGGACCCCACGATCCCTCTCACAGTTACTACTGTTGAGCAAGGAACCACCTATACTGTACCTGTGCGTTTCGTTTTTGTTGCCTAAATGTAGAACCTGGCTTTTCTCAATTGTTGGATTTTATTTTGACTGCACCCAATGTTCAACAGAACAGATTGATTAACAGAAGAGAAAACGAACTGCAAACAAATTGCCAGGCGGCCCCGGAAATGTTTTGAAGGCAACGTCCTCGCGCTGCCAGTTCAAACCCAGCATGGATGCCTCAAGAGATGCTTCACGAAGATCTTCAGGTCCTGCTAAAGTTGCCCGATAAAGTCTTCCTTCGTCATTAAAGCCCAGCCTTTAGTGGCACCAGGCTTCCACCCACGCCTGCTCGATCCCGTCTCCAAGGCTGCTCGGTCCTCTACTTGGCTTCCCAAAATGCCATCTTAATGTCTTCAAGATGGACCGGTTGACCTTGCTGGAAGTGCCGGAGACAATGAGGGCAGCTTCCTGGTTCTCAGGCCCTTCGGCTCTCTCAGCACATCCTGAGGCCAGCTGGACTTTCTCCTTGTCTGGCAGTTGACCCAGTTGACCCTTCCAAGCCTGGGAAAGCCCACCTGTTTGGGCTGACTTGAGAAGACGTTTTCCCAACCGAGGTGCTTCCCCGTTGATGGCTGTGGCACATGCAGAAGTTCACATGGTATTCATTTCCAGCAAAGCCTCTTTTTTTTTTTGGCAGCGTGGATGGGATCCAGATGTTGCTTTGCCAAGTTAGGATTTCTACTTCGGGGAATTGATCTATTTGGAGCACTCAGGCTGGCAATGCTGAATGCTCTCCACGGACACCGTTCTCCGCACACAATTCATTGCCCTTGTGGCGAGTCTAAAATGGACTTTGATAAATGACACGGAGCCTCTTCCATCGGCCCCACATTGTTGAGACTGAGATAAAGGGTTTGACCTTGGGAACACTTTTTCGTGTTTTCCCCAAAAATAAGACTGGGTCTTATCTTCTTTTGACCCCCGAAATAAGCACTTGGCCTTATTTTCGAGGAGGTCTTATTATTTTTGAGGTCTATCTATCTATCTATCTATCTATCTATCTATCTATCTATCTATCTATCTATCTATCTATCTATC